TCGTTGGTTTTAACCCTGCAATTTATTGAATCTACTTCCAGCACTTCTGTATAAACCTTGCGAGAGGGATCAAACTCTGCACCTGTCAGTGGTGTCCTCTATGAACCTCCAGCGCTCACTCTTGAGTCTGCAGAGCCGAGAATGAGTAACACCTTTTCAACTTTGAGCTGAGTTATCTCCCCCTCCGTCAAAGATACGCTTCCGATAACACATAAGACGACCAAGACGATGATAATGATGCTGGGAATGAGGAAAGATAATGCGGTACCAAACGCTACAACGGTAGTCATAGAAGCCCTCGTTATATCACAATATGTGCTACCCACTGGCGGGCGAACAAAAAGCCCACGAAAGCAAAGTAAAAGACCCTTCCGCCCTCAAGAAAAGCAGATTTCGACTCGTCTATAATATCGTCCCTACTAATCTCAACTTCCGAATACACTAGCCAAGAGGGCATCCGGAATACATGAGTTACTCGACAACCCCACGCTCGTAACGACTTTTGGATGCTAGGCTAGGCTCCTTCACGACAGTCACTCTCGAACAAGACTTTTCTGACATCCTTTCACGACCTTCGGTTTGTCCTGCGGCATGAATCAGACTAGGAGAAAGGAGGAGGCTAGGAAGGATGAGAGACACTCTTAGGTATACACAGGCCTGCTGCGCCCGGCTGGCCGGCCTCTTCGTCATAGGAGAGCCCCGCACCCAGTGGTTTTTGAGACATTTCCCTGCAGCTACACACACGCAAATGGCCATCGCTTCGTTGGCTGGAGAGGGGATATAATGATGGGATAACGGCTCCCCTTGGTGTGTACTCGAATGAAGACCTGTGGGGGGTATTACTGCTGGAAAGAAGTCGTGAAGGAGGCAAAGGAGGGAGTACACTACCCAGGTTAAAGATACTCCCTGCCTGTAGGCAGAGAGGACCTAGATGTCCTTACATAGCCTCAGACTTCATAGAAGAATAAACACAGAATGCTGTATAAACTATATTCCGAAATAAGAAAATCTAGTGGTTGGTATTTACGTCGAAGCGAATCAATACTAACCTCACAATGAATGGGGATTAGTGACGTGTATTCTACACATCCCTATCTTTGCTATGATTGGAAGCACCAATTTCAACATACAGGAATTTATCAATTTTTCAAATTAGGTCACCAACAAGAAATCCCCTGCCCTTGATCGGCTACAGCCGAAGGGATTCGATTGATCACCAATATCTACGACAAATCTTTCGTATCGTGGGTTATCATAAACAAGGCCCGTGTTAGCTTGAAATTAGTCGTTGAAAACACTGGAGTGATGCAGTGTCGGCTCACCGATAATTAGACCGACCTCAATGTGGGCGCAAAAAATATCGGGGCGTCACACACGGCACTACTAAATCCACAAATAGACAGCGGAGCAGACGCATTCATAGCTGTAGACTACCTTACTTCATCAAATTGCGCTAAATGGATAACCAGAAGAGATTGGGATTTCACTTCAACTTCGAGACCGACCGGTGATTACAAGCGTTAACTCAAATGCGACACTGATGGTGGGAGACGATGAGGCTCTGCATGCCTTCGAAGCCCACGCTTAGATGCTTAAATCGAAACACACGATAATGCCGTAAGATGAACAAATGCTGGCATTGAAGAAGGCAGCAAAGAAGAGTCTCTAGGATCCTGTCCGCAAGACAACTAAGCAGGCGGCACAAACAATGGAAGGGCGACTCACCTACACCTCAGTCGCTGCATCGCTAGTGACCTAAGTAACAGTACGAATACTATGCGAGGGAGAAGATAAGATGTAGCCGGCAGAGCTGCATAATAAGGCCGAATTACACATCGAAGGTGCATACGCAGTAAGGCAACCGCGCAGTAACGATACAGAGATGTTCGTGTAATTCGTCTCCCAACGAGACGTTGCCTTTTTGATGGCATGGCCAAAGGAGTTCTGCATCTTAAGCAGGATTATCCTATTTATATTTTAGGGATCACATTGGAGATAATGATACTAAGAGGGAAAGATGCCGACAATAGTAACCCGATTTGACAAATGATGGCAGATGTAAAAGGTGAGATTCTGGACTATAAATCAACAGGATGAGGAAGCTTTTTGACTGCAAAGAACGCCAATGGAAGAGGAAAAATAACCGCACTCAATGGTAAGTTATCGCAAGCTTCCGACAAAGGCACCTCAATGCAAAGTGATAAGATACGGCGCTTTTTTAACTCGGTGTTGTACACGGCCCAACTCTGGTTATCTCAAGCACAAGTCAAGCATGGCTTTAACTGCAGTCAGTTGGGGAATCTCCATGCCACCTGTAATAGGGAAAAGAGATGTTGAGGATATTACAGTTCTTGGAGGTATCTAGAATGATAGAAGTGAACGTTGACAGTCAAGTCAATACTGTATGAATCGTAAGATATTGGGGATTTCAGGATCAGAGATAAAAGGTTAGGATCGGGGAGGTTTTTGGTTTTGCTGAACTTACATTTAGTTAAAGGTGTTTTGTTTTAATCTACATCTAGATTTCTATCTATGTTCTACCTCGCTCAGGTAGAAAAATTGTGTTCTAATTACGTGATGGATTAACATTTCCACCACCGAGATCAATACCAACCGAGACCTCACCGAAGCTGGTAGCGATCGAAGATGAGTAGTCTTCGTATACTCCACACTACGTACAGTTCGGTCTGGTGTGTCTAGATTTCAACAGAAGGTTAGCTGGCACCTATCAGCCTAGAGTCTGCATGAAAAATCAGTGCTTTGATGTAATTCTGGGCAAGGCCACATGTCGTGGCAGGACACAAGGCCAGTGTCTACAGAACACGGTTTGGACAAAAAGAGAAAACAGCAGATTCAAGACGGAAAGAACCTATACCAACGGGGCCTCAAAATTTAAAATTATCTTCATCTACATAAAATCAAGGGTTCACGCTGGTATCACAACCAAATGCGGAATAAATCAAGAGGGGGCTGGGACGCTCGCAAAAACAGCTATGGTTCTAGCTCCACCACCAATATCACCACCATCGGGGTCGAGCTCAAGACTACAGATAACCGTTTTTAACACACGATGGAAAGGAAAGGATGCCAAGGTATTTTTTTAGCTAATACTGTCTCTGACTGATGGCCCTTTACATGTACTGTAGGTCAAAAAGAAGAATTTAGATTAAATTTAAAGGGGGGAAAGGTTTCTTTCGCAAGGTTTCCCCACATTCAAACGTGTAGATAGACCTACAGCCGCCAGCTCCGGCCTGTCGAGCATCAAATGAAACCAAAGCGAATAACTGAAAAAAGTGAACATGACTGGTTAGTATCAAACTGTCTGTCAAGTGTTGGGTGATATTACTATTCTTCTGTCTCAATTTATGTGCATGCAATAAATGTGTATTCTTTTTACAGACCAAGGGTATTTTTTCTTCTGGTAGTACATTCTGGCCTGTGGCTTCATACTATCCTAACTAAGAGTAGCATTCTTCACAAGTCTTTATCCGATCATGCCGTCAAAGTAGCTTTTGGCCTTTCATTATCTACCAACTACAGCTAACTACACAAATTTTGTTTGCCAATCTGTGATGGTCAGGAAATTTTGCCAGGGATGCTAAGTATAGAGCGTTCCCAGGACGAATATCAGTACTAATTCTGAGGACATTACCATCATCCCAAAGCGCTTTGTGAGACTAGCCAACCTATAATTGCATACTTGAATAGTAATTGAGAAAGTCTTTCCTAGCCTCGTCAACCCTTTCTATAATTCGCAGCTTTGAATAGATCGGAAGCCCACTGGGATGCGAAAAATATCTTGAGTTTTAGGGTAGGCTAGCCTAGCTGCTTTACACCGTCTTGTGGATTGGGTAGTTTTGCAGACTAATAGAAGATAGAAATCATTCTAGGAGACGTTGAATTTTTCTTAGCTCTACATAATTCATGCTGATAGCTTGAGTTCATAGGGGACACGAGTAATAGATGTTGGGTCATGGCCAACCTGGCTAAGAATTAGTAAAATTAGATTATTTCATGGAAAAGAGTGCCTTGACACGCCATCAGGCCAGTTGTCAAGTCTTACTTCCTGAAAAAACTTATATAAACTAGTTTAAGATCTACAAGAGAAAGTAAACTGAAACTTCTTTTTGGTTAACGCGCGGATAATTTTAGTCAATGACTTGATCTCTGGGCTGTGCTAGAATCAGGTTCTCCAATATCTGTTAGACTAGCGAATCGAGCTGAATTATAATTCGAGAGATCAATATACGTTTTATTTCCTAGATCTCATGGAAGCTTATGCTCAGAAGTTTGTAATCAGTACTTTGTATGATTGGGCGACAATCTTTCTTGTCCTTGTGGTTTTTGGAATGAGAATCCGCACCGTTATTGCAAAGAATTGTACAGCTAGATCAGCATCACATACTGACCAATATAGCCAAAACGTGAGAAAAAAGCGTTACGCTTGTCCAATGTGCGGAGGCTACAATGAAAATTTCAAGCACCGTGCTCTCTATGTTAGTATGCATGACCTATGGCACCATTGCTGCCTGTTGATTGTCGTTAATGATGACTATGTTGAAGATAGAATAACTGGTCAGATTAAGAGGGACTGTTCAAGGCTCTCCCCAGACCTGTTGACTTCCTTATAGTATACTTAAGCTGGGAGACTGAAGGGCATGATACAGTGATTGAACTCTTTTGATACGCTCCTTATAATGAGGATGTCGGATCCAGCCTGTTGTTCCATTGGGGGATCTTAGGAGGGAGCAGATAAGTTTAGTAGGATTGAAAGGAAGACCTGCTGTGAGATGTGGTAGATAGAACTTTAAGCTTGACTATATCTGCGATAATAATTAGGTATAGCATTCTTGTAATCTGGAAGGTGATTGATTTCGTTGGAATTCCAGGTGCTGCTTTCGGCACAAATAAATTTTTAGCAGTCCTATATTCGATGATTTTAGAGGTGGTTTGACCCCAATAACTTTATATCCTCTGAAGATTATTACTCATATGTCATTTTATATGAGATATTTGATCATTTTTTGTTTATATGGATAGGATTTGGTTGCTACTGCAGCTCTAGCCCAGTCCCTTACAGTTGAGGCTGCCAAGCTGTGGAGACATATTTCCCGGTAAGTATGGTGCAAAATCATCATACTTCAGCAAGTGACATCTATTTTAAGCGGCGGACAGAAGATCAATTCTTTTGTCACAGGATCAGTTTACAAGAACAAGTTAGACATCTAAAGCCAGCTGATTCATCTTCTTATTTATTCTCGTGAAGCTCACTCGATAGTGAGTCTACTATATCATGCCACTTCCTGAAGTATATAGGCGTGGTAGCGGTACAGAGGGTTATGAGAGGCGCAGGCCTGCTGTCTATTTGAAATCTCTTCAGCCATTTCTGATTCGGAACAGTTGATCCAAGAGGTTGCTAAACTAAGGGATAAACCTATATTTAAGGAGGTAGGCGTGAGTAATAGGAAATTATTAGTTTGGTACTGATGGTTGGTGGTGATATTGTCTACGGGCGATAATGGATGAAAAATATTTATTACCCAGTTTGTAAGAACTAGGATTCTCTAAGTAACCGGGAAAACTATATGCCATAAAGTGGATCACTTAACCAATATCCACGTGACTGGAACAGAGCGATGTTCTGATTGAGGACTTGAGGTTCGACATTTTGCTATACTCGAATGAACAGCGTCCCACTCAAAAGCAGACTTGTATCGAATTCTCCCAGTCTTCAGTCTTTTTCAAGACAGAAAAATTCACTATTGCCAAGGTATGTTAAAGTCTTTTCTCACGGTAACTACGACCCGCGACCTACAACAATCGCAGTTCGCGCCTCTCTTGGATATAAACTAGCAATATAACTTTATTTCTTTAGAGTCAATCATTTAAATCCACAAATTGGCTATCACAAGATTCTATTATTTCCTAGCCTCAAAGCAACACTTAACCTTGCGACAACGGTTCTAGGAAGAACACGCTGGAACGAATACGGCAGCAACCTGGCATCCAAAAGTTCTTGATTAATAAACATTATCTTCCATGTTAGAGACGCCTCTAGTATATCTATGTGCAAACGAAGAAAAATATTGTTCCTGCTCGCCAAATCTCCAACCTAAATCTCTGTCCAACTTGTCGATTTCCCATACGGCCAGCGCTCATCCTGAGCCGACCCAGTATTCTACATATTTGCGGAGGAGTTAGATGGCCGATGGTTATCGATTTTCTCAGCAGAGCGCTGGAAGTTATCACTTACCACAACACTCACAAGCCCAATTCTCACGTCACCAAACTATCCGTAACATCACCCCACCAAACAACTCAAGAGGCTCTACATACAACGTCAAGACACCTTCACCAACTCGATCATCTAATCCTCATTCTCCAGTGCCAGGAACTTACGGCATGTTCAACCAATCTCACCAACCAGGGCAACACGGCCGTGTCAACGGAGGAGGTCGCGGAATGCCAATTTTATACAATTTTCAGCATCAAAACTCACACCAACAGCATTCGCAACATCACAATGGCATCCAACAAGACCACTCTACACACACAGCTAACAGCTCACTAATCAACCAACATCATTCAAACTATTCATCTGGAGTGCTGACAAATTCAACACCTACTTTCACACCAAGTGTTCTGCACAACAGTCACCCAACAACAGCTCGAAATGGCCATCCACAACAGTATAGCGAGCACTGGACAGAACAACTAGAACTGCACAAAGAATCGGAACGACTTCACCATGATGCAAAAGACAGAGGAGTGACAAACTATTTTGCCAGAAGTAAGGCACAGGATAACAAAGGATTAATACCTACTTTACCACCTTCTGAACCAACTGATACTACTGAAGGAGATTCCTATGATCTTGGTCGCATGTCTAATCAGTCAAGCACTACAAAGAGGCAGGATTGGCATAATATGGATCTTAGTGGGCAAGGACTTCGTGTTCTCACTTCGCCACTATTTAATTATGTATTCTTGAAAGAACTTTATCTTGCATCAAACAATCTTACGCGCCTCCCTCCATCAGTCGGTAACTTGCGGCATCTCACTCATCTAGACGCTTCAAAGAACCAACTCACAGACCTCCCTCGGGAATTAGGAATGTGCGTATACTTGAAGCAATTATTAGTATTTGATAACCAGATTATAAAGTTACCACACGAGCTTGGCTCCCTATTTCAACTAGAAATGCTTGGTATTGAAGGGAATCCCCTAGACGCTGCGCAAAAAACAATAATCATGGAAAGTGGGACAAAGGCATTAATCAATAACCTCAGAGAACAAGCACCAAGTAAGTTTCTGAGCTAACACTGCGAACGTTCATCTGACCAAAGCAGCACCCCAGGATCCTATACCTCGAAGAGTGATAAGCTTATTAGACGAAGGAGCTACGACCCCAAAGGAAACAATAAAAGTCTTTTCATTCAATATTCTTTCTGATCAAGCCTGTACTCAACGACTATACGGCTATACTCCACAAGCAGCCCTTTCATGGGAGCATAGAAGAGAGGCAGTATTAAAAGAAATCACTACCAGTAACGCTGATTTTGTCTGTCTTCAAGAAGTCGACACTGATACATTCCGGGAATATTTTAGCACCAAACTTGCATACGTAGAATACAAGGGTGTATTCTGGCCTAGGTCAAGAGCTAAAACAATGTCAGAGAAGGACGCTAAAAATGTAGATGGTTGTGCAACTTTTTATAAGCATCAAAAATATATATTGTTGGACAAGCAGTTGGTCGATTTCGCTAATATAGCTATTAATCGACCAGATATGAAGAACCAACATGATATCTTCAATCGAGTCATGCCTAGAGATCACATTGGTGTGGTTTGCTTTTTCGAAAATCGTCTAACGGGCTCCAGGCTTATACTCGTCAATACTCATATATTCTGGGATCCAGTGTATGCAGATGTGAAACTCATTCAAACGGCAATACTATTGAGTGAAGTTAGTCGATTGGCAGAAAAATATGCGAAATGGGGGCCTTGCAAAGAGAACAAAGCTTATTCTCCTGATGATCAAAAAGCCTCTTCTAATGAGGGAGAAGATCAAACACCCCAGCCATCTAAAGAGTATGATAGCAAAACTCAAATCCCATTAATAATTTGCTCCGACCTAAATTCAACATCTAGCTCTAGTGTCTTTGAGCTGCTTGCCAGAGGAAATGTTCGACCGAACCATCCGGAACTTGGTGGCCGGAGCTATGGCAACTTTACCAAGGATGGTATTGATCATCCGTTTTCTTTAAAATCAGCCTACACTAATCTAGATAAATCGCAAGATTCTGTTCCATTCACCAACTATACTCCGGGGTTTCGAGGTGTCATTGACCATATCTGGTATTCGACTAACGCACTGGAAAACATAAGTCTTCTTGGTCAGGTGGATCCTGAATACATGAAGACTGTACCAGGATTCCCGAATCATCATTATCCAAGTGATCACCTCTCCTTGATGGCCGAGTTTGCGGTTAAGGGCAACAAGATCAAAAAACCATTTGCGGACCCCGACTTTGGCCCATCTAACCAGGCCAGCAGTCGTCGGCGGGGATGATGGATAGATCGTCAAAATTTGAAGCGTAATTACTATGAGCGGCTCTCTATTTTGATTATTACCATCTGATGAGAGATACGTTATGCATGTAGGAACTAGTCTTAGGCGTAGGAAAGGGGCGGTGTTACCGATGTTTGGCCCTCTCTTCTTTCTTATTCCTAACTCTCGCGATAGTCTAGGGGAATATGTGAGATGGAATCTATTTGATATAGATATCTAGCAATTCGTGAGCCGTAGGAAGATGAATTAACGGTCCAGAAGGAACACTTACATGGACTTCCTAACTTACGTTCTTGCTCTCTTTCTCTTTCACCACTTTGCGTGGAGACAATCATGCGTTACGATTTCATAATGACAGCGATAGATGTAGATGAAAGAGCATAACTGAGCTACTTCAGGATAGTTGTACACGATCGCGAGCGCTACAAATGCTTTCCATGCTCGTGATTCCCAACCATTGAAACTCATGGTACATTTCTTATTATCGGGCTAGATAAAGAAGATCGTTCAGTAAAAGAATTTTTACACCACAATGATAACGTGATAGTTTTTTGTGACCCTAAAATATCGGTGACAAGGTGTCAGAACTACTCATTCCTGGAAATTTTGATGGATGCAAAGAAGTTGAGCATGTTACCATCAAATAACCTACCGTCTGTTAAACAGAACTTGTTCCTCACTGTCTATGAGAAAATATTTTGAAGTTCTAAGCATCAAGCAAATCATATAAAATTAGTATCTTATATAGATTCTAGAAGTCCTCCATAGTCATAGACTCAGTTAGGACTATAATAAAATCTAATCTAACCTACCGTCTACGACAGGCAACTCGTACGATTGAACAGATTCATTTTCAAAGTGGGGCTCTATTTGTTTGTTTATTAACGTGCTAGGTGATTGACACCCATAGCACTTACAGAGGAGCTTAAGCACAAGTGGGGCCGCGGCGGATCATGTTGACTACCGTCCGATTAGAATTTGTGCTCCATCATAAAGAAATTACTTTATCAGTGTCGAAATGGATCTATTTGTTGAGTTGTGATGTGCCCGGCCCGGAGTAGAACAAAATAAGACTGTCCCGCGAATGCCCACTGAACAAGAGGGACAAGTATACGTCTTCTATACCTAATTGGTCTCGTCCACCGCTCGCCAGAGTCCCGATCTTTTCTTATCGTCTATTTTTATACCACAGCTCGTGGCTTTCTTTTAAATCTTGCTTATCATAGTTATCCCTGCCAATCTCGGAGATGCCACAGCATGAGACCCGCTCTTCTGGGTATTATCTTTTAATGACTGCTAGATGCATATTCCGAGCACCAACGCTAGAGCCGGTCTTCTCAGCGAGCTAAAGGCTGCTGATATTTTCTGCCTCAATAATTGCAACACCCTTGAACTTACAGAAGAAGACTAAAACACTGTGATCGAGATCAAATTGACCGGCTGTTATTATTGTGAGGGCTACCGTAGCTCCTTGGTCTTGCGCATCGCAGGCTTCCATGCCTTGATGTTATCGGAGCTGCACCGGAAGACTGTTTTACTCGTCCTATTGGCGTATATCATAAAGGCCTAGGATACTGCAGTTGTTGAGGCTCTGGAGATATTCCTAAAAGTAAAGTCTTAGTCTACACAAACCAATTTTGTGAATCAGGCATGCATGGTAAAAAATCAGCAAAGGAGGGTTCTGATCAGCTCACGTGAGTAAGAGATGCACACAGATGAGAGAAGCTTTCTTTTTGGCGCACCGATCTTCTTACAGGGCATTTTGAAATCTCCAATGATTTTTTAGGCCGAACGTGACGTCGCGAATCCCCCGATCCGAGTAATAATTATTTACCACATATGTGAACTTCCACGCAGAGTCAACAGATAACATCGCAAAAATTTAATGGTCAAAGATATGTCGGTCCATCCCGTACAGACCCCCCCAGCTCCCCCTCCTTCAATACTAATCTCTGTCCCTAAGGCTGGAGAGGGGTTGCTGACAGAAATTCCATTGTCAACGACCTCCGCACCAGATAACAGGAACCAGAAAGATATCCTGATGTTCCAAATCATTGCTTGTATCCTTGATGATGCAGTTGGTGTAGACCATCTTCCACAATAGCTCCTGAAACCCTTCCGCGAATTTATTCTGGACCTTACAAGCTTTGCTCGCCACCATTTCGACAGTCACGTCAGAGGCTCTTTACACCCCCAACCTATATTCAGCACCTAAATCAGATTGCATGGCCCCGAGAAAGAGTCATTACTGCTGCCCCAATGGCGAAACATCCGAATCGCCCTTCGACTTTCCTAGCCGCAGTTTCGTTCCCGTGGGCATCAGAGTAAAGGCAAAAGCCAGTCCTTGCTATTTAATAGAATCTTTCCAAGGAACAAGAAGCTACTTCCATCTCCTCAAATCGTAAAGCTCCTGCCAATAACTGAATTCTTGTCAGAGTTGCCCCAGTTCATACCGCACTAAATATGTCGCCCTACATGATCATGCAACAACTTGACATTTTATTTAAAGAGAAATTAGCTCGTGAAGCTGAGACGATAAAGAGTAGTTTTGCGATCTGCCCTACATCCCTTGCCGCCCAAGAGTCTCTCGCTGATCGTATGAATGACATTGGCAACTTCTTTATCATCTGAAGGCCACTGTAAAGTGTAAAAACCGAAAAATCACGCAGCGTACCTCATCGACGGTATTCCACGCTCTTACCAAGGATATGATTAAGAATCAATCGTCTTAGTCGAGATAACCAACAAAATTGTTGCCAAAGCCCCAGAGACCTAACCAATACTCTCCCAGCTGGGATTATAGAGCCTCAAACCTTACTAGACGCTCAGTGTAGAGCCTATAAAAGCCAGATCGCCCTCTTACCTCAAGGAACGCGTTCTTTATCCAGAAATTTCCCCCTATTTGGCGTTAGGGCCTGCGCAAAATATTTTCCTGAGAGTATAAAAGTAACTTAGTACGATCAATGTTTCAGATAGCACAATGAAAGTGGATATTTCAAATTCCCACGCTGTAGAATATGTGGCTCTTGACAGCACCTAGAAGATGGACATATAATCTGTGACTATGAAACCCCTCATCATTGCCCTCCATAGTGCGCCAATTGTCATGAGCCTTATCCCACTGATTCTCTAGAATGTCTTCTCTGACCTAGAAGAGACAAATCGAACAAACAAGGCAGGCCTTTTCGGCTGCTAGACTTATGTTAAAAAGCCGCTCATTGTGGTGTGATCTCTTGCAAGGCCAATGTTTTGAATCTAGCTAAAACTATGGCCCCTGAGACAATGGATTCTATGGTTCACATCTCCATCCGCACTGAAAGCCTCTTCATGCATTTCCCAACCTTTCTCGCGGGAGATTCGTGGTTTTCAAAAAGCTTGAGAACTATAACGCTATACCAGATGCTCAATAATTACTTCACGAACAGTACACCCTCAATGATTAAAATCATATCACTAAATGTTGGGCGATATTCATCTACTCATGAAATCGCCCTCTAATCCGTATTTCGGTTAGATACGTATATTTTGCTTATACAAAAGCCATATATTTATAAGGATACAGCGCGCAAAATTACTTCTAACCACTTAGCATTTGAAAATTTCTCGCCAGTTGACGACTAACTTGTCCACTTCCAGGCTTTGATGTGCACAAAAAAGACGTCAGTGATGTTTTATACTCAAACTTGACCTGGCTGAACCCAGAATGGAAGTTGTTCAAATAAAGACATTCTTTTCCTCACCGTCCAGACTCCAAGTTGCCCCTCATCACAGTTATAAATGTTTAAAACGTACACTCCGCAGCTACGAATCTAGGTGCGTACCTAGCTGCGCTTCTTTAACTCTCTAGTACTCTCCCAACTTCTTCAACAATTCTCATCGGTGACCTAAATTTTCATCATACACACTGGTAGCCATTTTGTACAGCCTCTCCTCCACCTCAATCTGATAATATCTTTCACTGGCTTGACTCAAGATCCATGTCGTTTATCTTGGAGGCTGACAAAGCTACCTACAGAGGAGGGAATGTCTTGGGCCTATTCTTTGCTTCCGATGATCTTTCTGCGAGTGGAATAATTGCCAATGTACATCCTAAGCTAGATATGACTTCTGACCACTACTATCTGGTAGTAAACACTATTTGACTTGGCCAAGCTGACCCTGCTACCTCTAGACCCCGATTTTTGAAAATTCAGAAAAGAACTTTTATCTCTCTAGTATAGACTCAAATTGATGTACTAAGGCTACCAGAGTCTTCCATCACAGGCCTTGATAATAGAGCTGAGTAATTAATAAGTATACTACAAATCGCGCTCTCTGGAGCTGCAAAGTGGTCCCTCATACATAATAATGGTCAATCCTGATGGGATCAGAGCTACCGAGAAACCCAGAAGAAGTATCAGAAACTATCTCGCTCACAACTTCCCTCAGGCACCGCCCGAAAAGAATTTCGGACGGTGGTAAAAGAAGCCGAATGTACCTATTTTCACAAACAGCTGGTTGATGCTAGTAATGTAGGTGATGTCTTCGACATTGCAAAGTAGCATAAGCTAAGAGGCAACTTTCGAACCCCTCCACTTGTTGATCCTCCTTCTCCTAACTCACCAGCTGCACAACATGCCGAAGCTAAAAGATATGTCACCGAAAACCATTTGCGAAACAAGTCGAGCGTAGAAGATATTCCCTTTCTAAACCTCTCTATTGCGAGATCTAGCCTTCTATTCCCTAGTATTACCGCTCAAGTACTACTAGCGCTATTCTCGGTGCAAGTAGTACAACTCCTGGAAAAGATGGAATTCCAGCTGCAGTGCTTCGTCCCGCCTGGATCCAGATTTTTGAGTTCGATCTCGAACTCTTTCAAGAATTTTTAAATCTAGGAAATCACCCCAAATGCTTTCAAACAGCCACTGTAGTTACAATTAGAAAACTCAGAAGAGCATATTTGACTACACCAAAATCATATCGACTAATCTCTCTTTTATCTCTGCCAAGAAAAGACTTCG